TAATTTAAATGTTGATACTTAAAAAAAAAGTCTCCGAAAAGGATAAACCAAGTTACATATTTGTGTATCAGCATGACCATTTTCCTAATTTTTTCTAACACTTGTTTCATGAAACTTTGATGTTTTAATATGTATCTTTTTGTTGAGCATTTTAGTTGTGAGCATTTTTACTATATTTAGTGACTATTTATATTTAGTTTTATGTCAAATGTTTATGTCCTTTGTCCACTTTTTCTATGGAATTATTTGTGTTTCCTTATGATTTGCAAGAGATATTTATTTAGTAAGAAACTCAGTCATTTTTTCTCCTGGCTATTCTTTAACTTTATTTATGGTACTTTTTTCCCTTTGAGAAATTTTAAGTGTTTATGTATTCAAATTTACAAGTCTTTCCCCATTGGCTGCTGGGCATTTTGTTATGGCAGAAACAAACAGTAGTTTCAAATTTACTCATATTTTCTTGTACTATTTTCTTGATTACTTTTGCACTTAAATTGTTGTTCCAACTGGAATTTATTTTGACGTAAGCAGTAAAGTAGGGCTATGCATTTGAGAGTTTAATTAATGCTAACTGCCACATTAAACCACCCTAAATATTTGTGGTACAACATTAATAAAAATTCCCTTCTCTCTAACATAGAGTCCAAACTAGAAAATGACAGACTTCATTTGGACTCAAAATGGGCAATCCACATTCAGAGCCCATGCTCTTATCTCTATTTGTTATTCTTCAAGGGGGCATGTGATCTAGTCCTTTTTGCTTTAAGTTCAACATCCCATTAGGTTAGGGCCTAAAGAGGAATGAGGCTCAATTTCTGACTTGCAAAATAAAACCACTATAGTTTCTTTCTACTTTAATCCTGGGCAGCCTATACCATAAGAAATACATCGAGGGACTCTACAATATCAAGAAAACTGAACACAATAGTTTGGTTTAATGTAACTTTCCTTGATACTAACTCCTATACTTAATGTCTGATAATATATTGTGATTAAAAAAAACCCAAAAAACCAAAGATGCCTATGGAACGAAAATTGAAATATTTTAAATTGTGACTCCTCAGTCTCTCATTAGCTATTTATAAAATATGCATAGTTTGTTTTGGAAACAATTGGCTGAAATATTAAAAGTAATTTTAGACTTGAAGTCTTTGTTTCTTGAGGAAGAAAAACTCCTACAGTCTCAGTTTTGTCAAATTAAAATTATTTTCAAGTGAACTACTTTGAGAAGATTTAAAATGATGATAGCACGTTTCCATATCATGTTTCACTAAGACAACTCAAACTAAATACAGTGCCACAAAATTGATCAAAATCTTAGGTTCTTTGTGTTCCAGTAGCTGTGTATACAAGGTTTCATTATGTGTGTATTTAATCTATTTTTAAATAACATATTTTTTATTTATAATTTTTTAAAATTAGAAACAATACTACTTTTCAGTGTAGAAAACTTGTAAAACATAGAAAACACGAAAAAAAATTCATAATGCCACTGCCTGAAGATAACCACTGTTAACATTTTGGTAAACATTTATATTTTGGTAAATATTTATAATATATTTTTATGTGATATATGTATATATTTTCTGTACAAAATTGATCCCACATACAGTATTTGACATTCTTCTTTTTATAGTTACATTATAGACATTTATTCATATTAATAATATTCCTCTAAATAGTTCTCTAATGGCTGCAGAATATTCCATGGTATAGTGTTTTAAAAATGTAAATACTTTTTTTTTCCTGAGAATCAAGTAGTATGCTCATTCCAAAAAAATTCAGACGATGCAAAAAAAAAAAGAAAATTTATGTCAACCGTAAGTCCACCTTCTGGAAATTTAATACAACTATTAACTTTCTGGCCATTTATGTGTACACATACACATATGCACACACACTGTTTAAAATGTGATTATGCTTGCTGTTTTGTGACTTTTCCTCTCTTTAAAAAACTTTTAATTTTAATTTATTGCCAATTTTATTGAGATATAATTGACATTATTTCCCTTTTAATAATGAATGTCTTTTCAAGATAATGAAAATAGCTCTACATAAAAATTTTAAAGTTTGTGTAATATTCCATTAGGAATATAACATGGAGACATTGATGTGGGCTTTGGAAATGGAAAGGGGAACTTAAATCCTAGTTCTACTACTAGAACTTGTGTGATTTAAAAAAAAGAACTGATTGCTGTAAATCTCAATTGCTTAATGGAAATCATAAGGTCTACCTAGCAGGAATAGTAAAGTATTAGCGGGAAGGTGAGATGGGGGTGTCCAAACTCAAATGTTTTTGGCACGAAAGACCTGAAGAGGACCAACATTTATTCTTCAAAGATTAGATGATACCGAATGCTTTGACCTGGGTCCAAATGGAACTTTCATAGACTTACCCAAAGTCATTTACATTGAAAAAAAAAAGGAAAGTAATACACTGAAGGCAAAACAAATAAAGAAAGAGAGAGAGAGAAAGAAAAATCCATAAAGCAAAGTAGTAGTAAGTAGCCCTTTGCAGGAAACAGCCCCTCAGCCAGAAACCCCTTTTGTCTTATCACCAACCTTAAACCAGGCACCCCCACGCTTTACTCATGTCTGGCCCTCACACACCTTTCAAATCTTGATCACACAATACCTTGCCTAACATGTCCGTTCTTCTCATAGATCAAAGAAGTAGGAATGGAGAATAAGTAATTAACAGATGACTGGGTCTCTTCTCTAGCTTCTCCTTTAGTAATCTTGTGAACAAACTATGTGAACAAGAAAGCGTCTACAGAAAAGATCAGGAGAAGTCGACAAGCCTGCACTCAGTGGGGGATAGTGACAACTCTGACCCGCTATCTCAATGATTCACTGAGATTTCTTCCTCTTCCCCCTTTAAAACTTTCTTGGCTAAGCAGAATCTTCAGAGTTGGTTTTTGTGGACCCTGAGTCCACCACCTCCCCAGATGGCCAGCATTCTGATGAAAAGCAACTTTCCTTTCTATCAACATTTGTCTCTCCTGAGTATTGATTTTTGAGCAGTGAGCAGCCGAACTGGAGTTTGATAACAATAGGACCCTTATACATTGCTGGTGGGAATGCAAATGTTGCAGCTGCTTTGGAAAAGAGTCTGGCAATTCCTCAAAAGGTTAAACATGCAGTTACCTTATGAGTCAGCAATTCCAATTCTAACCATATACTCAAGAATAATTAAAAGGTCTGTCTATACAATAACTGTAATCTTCATAGCAGTATTACCCCTAACAGCTAAAAAAGTGAAAATACGGCAATGTCCACCAACAGTTGAATGAATAAATAAAATGTTGTGGTATACAATGGTATATTTGACAATAAAAAGGAATGAATGATGGTATATGCTACAACATGGCTGACCCTTGAAAACACTATGCTAACTGAAAGAAGCCAGCCATAAAAGACTACACATTCTATGCTTCTATTTATGTGAAATATCTAGACTAGGCAAATCTAATAGCGACAAAAAGTAGATTAGTGGTTGCCTAGGGCTCTGGCGATTGGGGTGAAATAGGAGTGACTGCCAGCAAGTATAGAGTTTTTATTCTGGAGTGGTGAAAATGTTCTAAAACTGATTACGGTGATGGCTGCACAACTCTGTGAATATACTAAAAACCATTGAATTGTACAGTTTAAATCAATGAATTGTATGATATGTGAATTATATCTCAATAAAGCTGTTGAAAAAAGCAAACTAGGGCATTATAATTCTGAAGGATCGTAATAAAATGGTATATAAAGCACTGGACAGGGAGGTGGGTATAGCTCAGTGGTAGAGTGCATGCAGAGGTCCTGGGTTCAATTCTCCATTAAAATAAATAAATAATTAAAAAAAAAAAGCATTGGACAGATGAAGCCCTTAATAAATAGTGGCCATTATTCGAGTGTGTTTAGTTTGTTTACATTTTCCTCACCATGATCAGTATTTTAAAAAGAGTATTCCGTAATATGGGGCAATTCTACAGGCTCCATTTTTTTCCCCAATCCTTAGAGATATTGAAGTGCTGATCAAATGTTATGTACATTTTTTAGGGACCCCCTTTCTTCAGAAAGACTAGGGCTATGCCTGTGGGCATTTCCTTGAGTGTAGAGTGCCAGCAAATCATCCTTTTCCGAAGCTTTTTTGTCAAAATGGTAATATAACACACAAAAGAATACTTCTAAGTAGTATTTCCACAGGCCTTGCTGTGGGAAAATAATAGATACTAAAAACATCTCCATTATAATGCTTAACAGTATTGGGGTAGGTGCTGATAGAAAAAACACACAAGTTGATTCTGCTTTGATCCTGTTTGTGGACATTCCTATTCATTGCAGCAGGGGAAAACGTCGTCTCCTATTAAGTTTCCCTGATTACTTCTAACAATGAGGATTACCCTAAACTCTGTTGCAGGTTATGAACACATCTACGTTGAACCGCAAAAAGTTGAACTTAGCTTGACTTTTTAAGCAGCTAAAGTTGTAACAGGTGGGGAGAGGGCTCGACTGGACCGTGTGAGGTGGTGTGGAACTGTGGAATTTGAGCCAAGAAAAAAAAGGCCACCGATTTTTAAAAATAGAGCTAGGCGAAAGAATTCAAAGCACATAGCATGTACATTTTTAGTCTTCCTCTTTCCTCCAAAATTTGTGCCAATGGACAATTGGAGCCCCCAAAGTTGCTCTTCTCGAGGTGAGGACGCTACTCCAGGGCTACTAGCGTTTCAAGGAAGTTTCAGGGCAAGATGCCCGAGAGCAGAGGAATACAGATGCGCGGGACAGGCGGTGCCCGATCAGTTCACTCCCCGGCGGCTGGAGGGACCGACCCGCTCTGGCGGGCAAGCAGCGGGCACTAGGAGGCGGGGACGTAGGGGCGGGTCAGCAAAGGTCGGGCGATTGTGTCGGGAGGCAAACTGGGCGTTGGCGGCGGCGGGCGGAGCCGTGGGCGAGTGATGTAAAGGGCGGAGGGATCCCACAGGGAGAGTCAGTGCGGCTCGGTGAGACCCCAGGGGTGTGGGGCGGGGGATCCCAGTCCCCGCCCTGTTTTCCCCGCCCCTCCCCCTGCCTCCTTCACGCCCCTCCCCCCTCCTCCCCTCTGGTTGGAAAGTTTCTAGAATCTCTTCCCAGCGGCCTTTGCGGTTCCAACATGGCGGAGCTGACGGTGGAGGTTCGCGGCTCCAACGGGGCTTTCTACAAGGTACGGAGCTTTTTGGCGCTTTGTTGGGTTTTCTGGCGGCTGGGGCAGGTTTGGGGGAGGGTCAGTGGTCCAGGAGACTGAGTTTTGGGGTCGAGAAGGGCGGCCAGGCCAAAGCCCGAGGCCGCTGGGTTCATCGCTTCTCCCCCCTCCACCCGCGGTTTAACGGTCTCGGGGGCCCCGGCTCCGTTATGTTTTGAAACAACACGTTGGACACCTCTTGAGTTATTCTACTCGTGAACCTTCTTCTTGGGTGCGAGGCCCTTGGCGGGCCGGTAAGGAGAAGCTGAGTGGCTGCAGGGCCGCAGGGAGCTTCTCGGGAGCAGGCCTGAGCGCCGGGAGGTGGGGGAGTCGTGAAAGGAGGTAGTGGGATTGTGTGGTCACAGCCGCTCCCCCGCCCCTCGGACTGTGCCGAGCGCGAGCGCCTCGGCTCGCTGCTCCGACCCCTCCCCACCCCCTTGGGGGGCGCGTCGCGGAATCTTAAGAATTCACCTTTGTACTACGGTTTTGTGCTAATAAACTTTAGTGTCTGAAAGGGAAGCGGATACCGGATTAAGGGTTAGGATCAAAGACAGAAAACCAGAAACCCTTGAAATGTGGCTAGTAGAAATATTTTTTGCAGCCTGGGAAATTGGGCGGCGCCTTAGCCCCTCTATTACGGAAGAAACGGCGAAGAGTTTTAGCCTTTAAGAATTAAAGCGTGAAACGGGATCAGGGAGACACAGGTGGGGAGGTGACTAGGTTTTTTGTTTTTAATCAGTTACCTGGTGTGTTTGGAAGGAGGTGTTGATTTTTGCCCCCCCCCCCCACGAGGTTTTTGTTAGTTTCCAGCGGGAGGAAGGAGATGCATTGCTATGGGATCGGGGCTGGCACATGGGAGAGGAATTCGAGAGCAGAGGAATTCAGTAGGGGCTTCTGATGTAGGGGTCATATAAATGAAAATGAAATCCTTAGTTTAGTTTTGCCATTATAACGGTCTTTTCTCCCAATTCTCCTTTTCTCCCAGAGTGTGCTTTCCGTGTTACAAGATCAATACAAAATCTCCCCAGCTGTTGTCTGTCAGTCAATCTCACTAAGCCAGCATCTCAAATGTTTGAGAGTCCTGGCTATTTTTGTTAAGGGCCGTCTCCTAATAACAGGAATACTGTTGGTACGCAGAATGTATTCTCACTGAGTTTCTTTTTAGCGTACCTTTTATCCCCCACAGTATTTTAATTTATTAGGTAGTCGTAATTTCTTACTTTCAGCGTTGTTTTTGCCTTTCCTTGTTTACTAATGAGCTGTGTGGAATTGGTTTAGCTGTCACGTGGTAATAGCGTACTGGGGAATCACAGTTGGCGTCTAAACGATCTCCCTAAGCTTTTTACAAGTTTAAATCTGTTTAGGTGGTCAGCATAAAGTAAAAACAATGGCTGGTAGAAAGGAGTCTTTTAATGCGTGACAAATTTTATATTATCAGTCTAGATTTAAAACTTGGTGTCAGACAAGAGTAGATACTTCATTAACTTAAGCCTGATGGTTGCAGTTCTCTGAACTGCAGATACAGTTGTGGCATGATGCACAAAGAATGGGCTTATCATACCTTTCCTCTCAAGGGTAGATAAGGTTCATTTTTGCATAAACATCTTCCCACCCCATGAAAAATTTTCAAATTCTTGCTATTTGGCCATACAATTCTTGTTTAATGAAAGTATGCATTTTTTCCTGGCATACTGGCATTTTTCCTGGTTATCTGTTGAAAAGTAGAAAAGGATTACTATGCCTTAACAAATTATTTTCAGCATGTCGATGGTAGATAAAACATTTCTTTTTATTCACTCAAATATATTTTTATATCACGTGCTGTAAATACACTTTTTAAATTTATAAAATTCTGTAATAAGGTGGTCTGTTTGAAAGTTTTAGTGAAGATTGTTTACCATCTTACTTTGCTTTTTCTGTCTCTTTTTTTCCTTTTATTTTGTCAGTAGTCGAATCAGTTTTGAAACTCTAAAGTGTTTATTGTTGATTATTATCTATACAAATTGTTAGACTTTGATTTCATTACCCATTTTTACCTAACAAAATAAAGTAATGTGGTTCTTTGGCAGAGGTTGGGAAGGACCCTAGTCACATTTGTATGTACTGAAAAAGCACACACAGTTGGAATTTAATGTCCTGCCATAATCCGCTTGTACATGTGTGGAAACTATGATCTTCAGAACTCTAGAAGAGTGAGGATGATGAAGAGGAGGGAGCCCTGCATTTGAAATTAAACAAGTGGGAATTTTAGGTCTGTACCTCGGTTTAAATGTATCTAGTAATAATAACATCCTGAACAAATTTCCCTGGACATATTTTCTTTTTTTGTAAAGTGAGGGGTTTGAAGTAGTTCAGTAGTCTGCAATGTTTTTTATCCCATGAAACTATCCACTTGGAAAAAAATTGGCTCATTGCACACTTTAATTTCAACTCCATGAATTTTTAAAATTAATTTGCATGTAGTAAAATATGTTTTTTGACATGGTTATGTAAACTTTTTATAAATGGTGACATTTATGTAACCACCACGAACACGATGAAGTGATAGAATAGTCCTACCATTCCCTTAATTTCTATCATGCCCCTTTGTAGTCAGCTTCTCTCACTCCCAGAACCTGTGGTGGTTTCTGTCCCCATAGTTTTACCTTTTCCAGAATGTCCTAAATGTAGAATCATAGAGAATACTGTGTAAAGTTCAGAATTTGGCGTCTTCTGTTTGGTGTAGCGATAGTTTCATTTTAAGTAATTTTTTTTCTATTTAAAAATTAATACATGGTCATTGAGGGGATTTTGGAAACTATCAGGAAAAAACAAGTTGCTTTGCGATAACAGCTGTTAACACTTCGGTGTATTTTTTCAGTGGTGGTTTTAAACATACAGGTAATTCTGATCCCCCCCCCCCCCAGCTGTAAATGTGAATTGCCATTGAAGAATTTCAGAGTCATGGAATTAGTAGCCAGTATCATCATGCCTGAGGCATTGCTCTATGGACATTGATTTAAGATTTTTAGTAGAACTAAAACTTCATTTCACATAGTAATTGGAACCAGGGAAAAGCGGAAGAGTTGACCTAAAAATAGGATAGTCTCCCCCCCAACCCCCGAAAATATTTACAGACTGTTGCACACTAAATACTTTGTCCTGCGTCCTGTTCTTTTTACTTAACAGTGGATCTGTGGTTGTTAAAGATAAAAAATTTGATATGCTCCTGTTTGCAGCCATGTAACTGGGGATTGGGAAGAATGGGAAATATGCTATGATAGGGGATGTAATTTTATATAAAAATTTGCCTTTTCTACCGGAGTGTAGCATCTTAGGGTTTATACTACTGGACATTTAAGGTGCCCCCCACCTTTTCCTTTAGCTTTTCAATAGATTTTACATTCTATAATAGTGTATTTACAGAGTTGTGTAACAATTACCACAGTCTTATTTAACATTTCCATTAACCCCAGAAAAGCCTCGTGCCCATTTGGAATAATTAAAATGCTTTTTAACTCATGTATATGATATTAAGCTTTGTAATAGCATTGCAACTTGCATAGTCGTGGGCAGAATATAATTTTGACTAGAAGTTGAAAGTAAGTCACTCAATTTCTGGCTCTTGTAGAGGAAAGTTTCCATGGTGTTCCAAGGAAATGTGTGATCTCTAAGATGGCTGAATGAATTTTCAAGCCTCTGTAGAAAATAGAATTACTTTTGGAACTCTGTGATTTCTTCTTTTGACTCTAATTGTTTGCAAATCAAATTTCAAAGTACTGCGATATTTCCAGAATTTCCTTTTAGCTTTAGCTTAATATTAAAATGAGATTTGAGAGTAATTAAATTTTGCAGTAGGTTTGTTATCACTAATGAAGGTGACCTACAGAGTTACAGTGAAAGAGTTGTATTTTGAGACTACTGACTTTTCAACGTTAGTACAGAATGTTTTGATATCTTGCTGGAGATTAGTAATTCAGGAAAAGATAGTGGCTGTCTTAATACTAGGGTCACTCTATTAAGTTAAAAGCACACAATTACAGGTATTTTGAAGCTACTTTTGTGCATGTTTTAAAATGCAGTTTTTATAAATATTAAAAGAACTAAGATTTAACTTATTTGAAAAGGCCACTTAATTTTTAGAAATTGAAATTAAATATTTTTCCTGTGAAGTTTTGTTTTGTATTACAAGAACTATATGTAATTAGGAAAAACCTGAAAACAGAAAAGTGAAAAAAAGAAAAACAGTCTCATCTAGGATGTATTGTAAAAGCTTTGGCTTTGCTTACAGAAAACATTTTTTTCCCTCATTTTTATTTTTATGCCCCTGTGTATTTTCTATATCATCAGGTATTTGTGTGCTTTCTGTGACTAAGATAATAATTTAGTATGAGTGCCTGTTATTTACTGTATATTCATTGCGGCTTATACATGTGTTAACTAATTTTGTTCTCTCAAGGACTGCAGTGAGGTATGTGTTTTTATCCTCGTTTTACGTATTAGGCAACTAATAATAATTAAGTAAGTTGTCCCAATTATATTGTACTGAAATGAGATTTAGCTCTAGGGCTTCTCAACTTCCAGTTGTATAAGTTTAGCATAGCATCAGAGGTTCTCCAAAGGAAATCTCAGGGTAGTAAGTAGTTAAGATTATGCTTTAGATAGGGAGATAAGGCAGACACTTGACTGGGTAACTCAAGAAGTGCATTCTCTACCATGATGAAGGATGCAGCAAACTTGCTTTTTTTGTTGTGGGAAGAGCAGTATGTGTTCTATGATTGTACTAACTACTTGTGAGACCTTGGGTTTTTCATCTGCAGTGTGAGGCTCTGGGTTTTCTCTTAAAAGACAGTGTATCAAGTGGAATCTGCTAGGTTACTTCACTGAAGTCCCATTCCGCTCTAACAACAGCTGTTATTTATTGAGCACTCAGGAGTATCAGATTATGTGAAAGTACTTTACATCAGTTTATTTTATTAAGACCTCTCAATCACAGTGAAAGA